ACCGGCAGAGTTAAAGGAGTTAAGGGAGCAGCTTCAGGGTTTCCTTGATAAGGGTTCGTAGGCAGGCTAATGTGGATGTGTGTTCTAACTTGAGTCGGTTTGGTTGGCTCCGAGTTGTAATGTTGAGGGATGTGTTGATTCGATTGTTATTGAGCTTATCAATAATCTGGGGAGATATATGAGTTACCTTTCTGTGTTGCGAGGCGTTATGATTTGTTGGTTATAGGCATATATGGTGCGGTTCTATTGAGGTTTCATAGTGGAGGTCAAGCGGGGAGAGTAATTGGGTGTTGCTCGGTGAATGGCGTATCGGTTATGTCCTTTCGGGATTGTGCGGTGTATGTTTTTTGCTTCACCGTGTGTATGATAATATGCTTTGGTTCTAGACATCAAATTGCGTGTGGTTGTCGATTTCGAGCATAGTGACTTGAGGTGTTTCATGTGGACCAGTGTTTGGGTAGGGTCGTGCATTGCAGAGAAATTATGTGGAGGTATGACCCTTCGAGTTAGATTCATGTGTTCTGTTTCTAAGATGTGTGACGGGTTCCCAGCATTGTGTGTGGTGGTACTGGTGAGCTTGCGGTACAACTCTCTCATTTGAGTCCTTTTTCATGATTTGAGTACGTTTGGATTATTGCCTGTTGGTGCGCGGATTGCACAAGATGTGGCGGTAGATGGTATTGATGTGTCATGTCACCAGAGTAGTGGTGTTGGATTAGATGAGATCGTCGGGATCTGAAATGAGTACAACTGATTCAATTTCAGCATGTTGGAAGGATAATATCGAGGTTTGGCTCAACGGAGAAGTGGCTTCATGAATGGTTGATCTGAGAAACGGTTATGGCTTATTGCGTGTTTCATTTATCATTTTCAGTATATGAAAGTTTTGGAATGAGACTTTAGCTGGTAAGGGGTGTTCTATCGATATTCGGTTGTTGTGTGCAGCTGCCGTGATTAGAAGTTATCGCTACAAGTGTTTGAGTTATGTGGTATATCATGTAATTGCACCTGAGGTTGCAGGTATGGGTTGTTATAGCTTTTTCGAACTTATTCAGAGTATAGATGTTAGATTCTGATCTTGTGGATGATTTCAGAAGTGGAAATGCGGTTCTAATGTTTATGGGCTAGGATGGATTGTGAAATTTTAGTTACGTTGTGTTATCGGACCTATTTGAGATAGGGTGATGTGGGATCACCCCCGGGTATATGCGTGGTAAGTTATTCGGCGATTGGTTGGCTTTTGGAACAACTCTGGGCACGTTCGAGGACGAACGTATGGTTAAGTGGGGGAGAATGTAACGACCCGACCGGTTGATTTGAGCTTTTGCACTTTGCTTGCAAGTTCTCGGGCGTGACTTACCATGTGTAGTGTATTATGACTTATGTAAATCGTTGGTTTTGGTTTACAGGGTGATCTGAATGAATTTGGAAGAACAGTTCTCATTTTTAAGCTTAAAATTTGAAAGGCTTGACCAAGATTTGACTTGTTAGTATATGATCTCGTATTGGAATTTTTATGATTTGGTTAGCTCCGTTAGGTGATTTGGAAATTAGGAACGTGATCGGAATGTATTTTGGAGGTCCGGAGTAGATTTAGGCTTGAATTGGCGAAATTGAGTTTTTGGCGTTTTCCGGTTGATAGGTGAGATTTTGATATAGGGGTCGGAATGGAATTTCGAGAATTGCAGTAGTTTCGTTGTGTAATTTGGGGTGTGTGTGCAAAATTTCAGGTCATTCAGACGCAGTTTGGTTGGATTTTTGATCAAAAGAGGAATGCGGATGAATTTAGAACCTTAGGCTTGAATTTGATGAGTTTTCGTGATTTTGATGTTGTTTGAGGTGTTTTGAAGATTGATACAAGTTTGATTAAGGTTATGGGATATGTTTGTGCGTTTGGTTGAGGTCCCGGGGACCTCGAGTGAGTTTCGGATGGTCAACCGGACCATTTCATGAAGTTTGGAGTTGTAGAAATTGCAGGTTCAGCTGTTGCAGAAGATTTCTCTTCGCGATCGTGTAGAAGGTTTTGAGGGGGAGGACCAGTTGTTCTTCGCGTTCGCGGAGGTTGGGTTGCGGTCGCGTAGTGTAAAAAGGTTTGAGCATCGCGCTCGCATGGTATTTCACGCGTTCGCATAGAGAAATTCTTAGGAGCTGAGTATTTGTGCTTCGCGATCGCGAAGGTTGTCCCGCGATCGCGATGAAGGAATTTTAATAGCTGGGCAGAATGTTTTAAAGACCTGTTCCACGACTTTGAACCCTTTTACACCATTTTTTGAACGGGAAAAAAGAGCTTTGAGGCGATTTTGAAGAGAGGAAATCATTGTTCTTCATTGAGGTAAGGATTTTGGACCCTAAAACTCGATTATTTGTGATTAAGGAACAAAATATCAGTGTTTAATTCATGAAAATCACTAGAAAAAGGTAGAGTTAGGGCTTGAGATTATGAGACCTTCTAGGGATGATTTGAGGGGTCAAACGAACTCCGATTTTCGAGTTCTTTATATGTACGGACTCGTGAGATGATGAAGAACATTTTAGTATAAAGTTTGTCCAGTTCCGGGATGCGGGCCCGGGGGTTGGGTTTTGACTGGTTTCGGGTTTTGTGCTTAAAATCGATATTTTTCAATTGGAATTCATTCAGTTAGCATAATTTATTGATAAAAAATCTGAACTTGGTTGATTTGGAGCACTCAGAAGTCGTTTCGAAGGGCAAAGGCATTGCAAGCTAGATTTCGAGCCGGATTGAGGTGAGTAATGATTTTAAATGCTGTCCTGAGGGTATGAAACCCTGGAATTTCACAACATACGGCTATGTTGAGGTGACTTACACGCTAGATTACGAGCGTGGGTTAGAGCACCGTTGGGAATTGTGACTTAGTCCATCCCGAATGATTATTTTACTGCGTATTTGATAGTTAATTGTTTGATATTATTATATTTTGGGCTAAATGCCATAGGTGGGCTTCGTGCCAGCACTTTGAACCCTTAAGGGATTTCTAAATGATATTTTCCTCACTGATTGATTTCATACTGGTGCTCAGTCATACTATATTGTACTATTTTAAAGACTCAGCTATATTATTCTGTTTTAAACACATTAAATGATATTTTTCAAAGTATTTGAGTTGATCTTCATATTTTACTGTGGCCCGAGGGGCTTATGAGATTCTGACTGAGTAAGGTCGGGGGCCTTTATTTTGAGGATACTATTAGGTCGGGCTGCACGCCGCAGCAGTGATACACTTGAGATATGATAATGAGGCCGAGGGCTTGAGATTTGTACGCCACGAGGTGGCTTGAGATTTGATATGAGGCCGAGAGCATGTTTATGATGCCACGAGATGGCTTGATATTGCGCTTGGGCCATAAGGGGGCCCTCTAGGAGTCTGTACACCCCCAGTGAGTGCGGGTACCCATTGTGGTGACCCTGTTTATTATGTGAGGCCGAGGGCCGGATTGATTATGCCACGAGATGGCTTGTTATTGCTCTTGGGCCGTAAGGTGCCCCTCCCGGAGTCTGTACACCCATAGTGAGCGCGGGTACCCATTGTGATGTGAGATATAGCCCGAGGGACTGGTATTGTTCTGTGATATAGCCCGAGGGGCTGATATTGTTCTGTGATATAGCCCGAGGGGCTGGTATTATTCTGTGATATAGCTCGAGGGGCTGGTATTGTTCTGTGATATAGCCCGAGGGGCTGATTTTGTTGTTACTGTGCCCGAGGGGCAGTTATAATGTGTTTACTCTTTTAGTTGTTTTTCCTGTATATTGTTTAACTGTTTTAGAGAGGTATGAGATTACACTGCTTGATTATATTTACGTATTTGTTGTGCCTCTTGTAGCTTAATGTTGTGCTTTACGTGGCTTTATATTACTCAGTCTTCATTTATTTTTATTACTCACTAAGTTGGAAGTACTCTCTTTACTCCCTGCACCTTGTGTGCAGCTTCAGGTATTTCTGAACCATGTAGTGGGTATTGGTTGCTCAGAGGCAAACTCATCGGAGTTTAGCAAGGTAGCTGCCCGACGTTCGCAGCACTGCTTTTCTCCCTCTCGATTTCATTAGACATGTATTTTGTACATTTTTTACTCTAGTTGTATTCGGACTTTAGTAGATGCTCATGACTAGTGACACCCCGATGTCGGGCTGTGTTGAGTTTGTTTTTCCGTAAATTATATTGTTAACTGCTTATTTTTTAGATTCTATCATGTTTACCACTTAATACTTATTATTTTACTGCTTAAGATTGGAATGGGAATGTGTCGGCTGGCCTTGTCTTCACGAGAGGCGCCATCACGACCGGGTTGGATTTAGGGTCGTGACAGATTATCCTGCTATTGGCTTGCATATTTTGTCCATTTGGCTGTGAGGTTTTATTCAGTTTGAAGTTATGACCAATTTGGCAGCATGTAGGCAGTAGTGGGGCTTCCAATTGTACACTAGTGGGTTATCAGTCACCTTCCCAGTAGGATCATACACTTTTATACTCCTCAGCAGAGGTCTAGTTACATCCATTTCAAACAAGAGCCTTGCATAGGCGATCCTCTTTGCCTTAGAAGCACATTCATAGTTGATTGCTCAGAGATTTTCACACTTGAAACTCGAGGTGTTGCCGGCTTCGATCTAATTACTTGCAGGATCGGCCACTTTGGTTCATCGTCCTCCATATCATGGTCAATATCATACCTCTCTTTCACCTTCCCTTAATTCCAACTTTGAATTCGGGTATTTGGTTGCCCGAGTAGTACTTCAATCGATCTCCTTCATCTTAATAGAATTTCTCCTCCGTCGCCCCCTCCCCATGCCGGAGAAAGCATAGGTTAGCAGTCACCTAACATGCGCCGAGAGAAACTTTACATTCCACTATAACGGATACAGATTACAACAAAATGTAAATTAGTAACAATTGAAAGCAAAAAACAAAAGATCTAGTGGAAAGAAGCAATTCGCTGTTGATCAGCAAGACAAGGAAAAATATTTAGAAAAAAGAAAACAAATGCATTTGCGAAATCTAGCATCATTCATCCATTATATTTCCATATATGATAGTACTAATTTACATATCTGAGAGCATGTCATCAGTAATGACACGAAAAGGTTCTCCTTCTTTATACCCCCAAGACCACACCAGATAAAGAAGGGCAAAAAGAATGAAAAAACAAATTAATAAAAGGTTATCAGAAATCAGTACAAATAGTATCAACTAGCTAGTGATGATATGGAGAAGTTTCTTGAATTCTATTTTTTCTCTTTTGCAGAAATCTTTGCAGAGATTTCTTCATGGAAAGACCAGTTTGAGTTTGTAACAATGGTGATGATGATTCTGAAATTGGTGATGAAGTCTTTGTATTCTCCTCCGTTTCTCTACTTGCGAGATATATTATTGCTTTCGCCTGCATTTTCATTAAGGAAAATAAATTACTTAAGAATTATTAGCAGAACTAACAATTTTTTACTAAGAAAATTAAAGAGAAATAATAATTTTCAGAGCTATGAAAGTAACAAATGTGAAAGGAACTTAATCGTATACACCAACAGAATAACATAAAAGTATCGATAGTGTAAAGAATTTTTACACTATCAATATATTTTAACCTATATTTTCACAAAAGACCTGCCTTGCTTCTAGCTAGACTACAAATTATAGAAGAAAGTGATTTTTCTGTATGTTCTATATCTCTTTCTGATTAAAATTCTCTTTAATCCTATATATAATTTAAGGAAAAACAATAAAAACATATAGTATCTTCCTTAACCAAAATCCATCTTCTTCTTCTTCTTTTTTTTTTTTCAATTTTCACCACCCCCTCCTGAAAAAGGGCAAAGGGCACCGTGGCTTTCATTTCTAGGGTCGAATTATTCATTTTAATGAGAATTTCCATGAAAGTTCATTCAAATCGCTATCAAATTTCTCTGTACCACCTTCCGGCCGGGTTGTGACATGAAGTAGCATCATTAATAAATACTAATAGTACAATAAGACAAATTTGTATACACATTGCATTTCAGCCGAACACGACATATTATTTGTTGTAGTACATAATCTGTTTTATTTTATAATATTATTCATTTTACTTTTCATGAACAGTTACTACTTACTTACTATTCCCTCTGTTTCAGTTTATGTGAACCTATTTTCTCTTTAGTTCGTTTCAAAAAGAATGATCCCTTTCTAAATTTGGTAACAATTTAGCTTAAACTTACAATTCTACCCTTAATGAGAAGCTTTTATAACCACACAAATACTCTTGCCCCCTTTTTGACTTATTTAGGACCACAAATTCCAAAAGTCTTCATTTTTTCATAAACTTTCTGGCCAGTCAAACAGATTCACATAAATTGGAACGGAGGGAGTACTATACTTCAATAGTATATTTTTTTTTTTTTTGGTTTAAGTATACTTCAATAGTTACCTCTTTCATGATAAAGCAATGTGAAAATTCTAGTACCTTGGAAGTTAAACTCCACTCAAGCTCATAATAAAGTGACTAAAGGGAGTACAAAGAATGCATTTAAATAATATAAAGCTTAGTTCTTCCAGGAAACAAAAACACAGAAATTAAAGAGAAAAATGTGCGAGTATTCAAACCTGAAGCTCTGTAGCATCAGAAACCACAACTTTTCCATTGTAGAATATTGTTAGCTGCTGCTGTTGCTTCTCTTCTGTGCCCTGGTTATCCCTCCTATATTAGGAAAAAGAAAGAAAATGTTCAATACCATATGCATATTTACAAAACTAGTCTATAAAGATAGGCATTTTTTATATGCATTTGTATTTCCTATTATAAGATCAGTGATATTAGAAAAAGGGGGAAATATTTTAACTTTTCAGAACTCCAAACATATATATAGAGAGAGAGAGACTCACATGGAGAAGTAAGGGGTCGTAGTGCAATCTTTAGGAGAAACAGAAACACAAGGAGGGACAAGCCTTAGTTCCAAGTTACAGTTTCTTCTCATCTTTTTTCAACTTCAGCCAAAATGGAGCTCTGAAGAAGGTTAAACTAATGAGTCAAGAACGCGATTTGGAAACAAGTTAAGGATATATATATATAGGAGAGAATGAAGATGAAGAAGAATAAGAAGAAAGGGACTTTGAATATGTATTTTAGATGGTGGAGTTAGGTGTGGGGGTGAAGGACTGGATTTAATATAGTTGATAAAATTAAAACGTTTCAAACACGAATCTCACACTTCCATTAATAAATAGAAAGGCGTAAAAGAATATGTACAGAAACAATGCCTGTTAATTACACGTGATACATGAGGTTTTTTCATATTTATTTCCATAGTTATTTCACTCCTAAACACCGCCAACTTTATTCTGCGGTTTCTGCGCTAATTTTGCGTCTTTATTATAGTGTTCCATGCACGTTTATCAGTCGGCCCGCGAGCATTCCTTATTCTCCGTTTTAATTTATTTTGACAAAAAAGTGACTTGAATTTTATGGTCTTAAAATTATAAAGGATACCATATTATTTGTTTTGTTATTAAAATCTTCTCATAAATAAAATAAAAGGGTGATAGTTAAATTATCTTTAAATATAATAATATATTATTCTTTTGCAACGCACTAATAAAAAAAGTGTGTCAGATGAATTAAAATATGAGTATTTTTTAATACTCTCTCTATACCATTTTATGTGGTGCAGATTGAATTGGCACGAAGTTTAACAGAAACATATTTTTAAATATTTGGAAGGGTATAAATTATTATATAAGTATAAATTAAAAATTTTAAAATTATATTATTTCTAAATGTAAAAAGGTATCAAATTATTTTTTTTTAAAGATAAACTATAAAAGAACATGCATCACATAAATTGAGATAAAATAAATTTTTTCAAATAAATATTTGCTAAAGTTCCTTTAGAAAGAACAAAAGGTTGGAACGTATTCAACATGCTCAGTTTGAAAGTATACAATATATGGATTTCTTGGAAAATTTTATTGTATGAGGCAATTTTTTTGGGTAACTTACACAAATGTCCCAAATAAATTTCAACTTACCAACCTTTAGCCATTAGTCATAGACTTACCAAAACTAGCCAACAAAAATTGAAAAACCAAATAATAGAGTTCTTTCTCTCAAAGAATCACATGCAAAAATCACCTTCCATATTTTTATGCGTGATTAGCAACAATAGATACAAGACGGAAAGGAAATTTCATGGACGGGGTAGCAAATAAGGTGATGAAATACAAAAATCTATACAATATTCCAAATTTCTAAACAAAAAAGGAACTTTTTTTAATGGGTATAGTTGAAATTCATTGAAAATATATAGATAAGTCAATATACAAAATTTGAGTAAGATTGGAGGTGATTTGGACTGGTTTTGTATCAAAATTCGTAATTAAATCGAGTTCAAAAAAGTCTTCTGCGACACGTGTATCAAACATGTATCACGCATGTATCACACACACAGGTATACATGGATATACATGTGATACACAGTTGATACAAATATGATACATATGTGATACACAATGTGATACACATATCATTTTTTTTCATGTTCAGCTTTTACTTCGAATTTTCAATTCAAACCACCTCAAAACTTCACCAAATCATCCCAAAACTGAGATTCAAGCTCCTTAAGTTGTGCCCAATCTATTCTAATAACACCCACTCAAAACAAAGCAAAAATTTGATATTTTTTTTGCTACAAATAGCTAATTGGCTAATTTGGCTAATATTAGTAATATTTTATCAATTGGCCAATTTTTATAATGAGCAACTTATAAATGGACATAGCTGGTAATTTTCCATTTTTTTGTCTCACAGTTTTGTGGACCCAAATTTTCGTAGACCCGAAAATATAAGATTGGGGTCCACAAATATATGAGACAAAAAGGAGCCTCATACAATTATGTGTGAGGCATACAATAAAATTTCTCGGATTTCTTCGAGATTTGCGAAATCAGTCTTCTGCTTTTCTAAGTGCCCTTTAACTAGAATGGACACAGCCACTTTTTGGTTCCTATATATATATATATATATATATATATATATATATATATATATAAAGTTCTTTGATCTGGACAGTAAAAAAGATGAAAACGTGAAATTAAAATATTGAAATATTTTTGTATATTTGCAACAAAAATCGGAGAACTCTAGATAAGCATATTGCAAATTAAATCATACATGATTGTGAAAAATTGTTATCCCATATAAATATATACTCTAGTTTATTTTATTTTGAATATAGTTACGCCTTGTGGCGGCGTACGTTACCCTTCCATTAATCACCAAAATTAATCAATAGAGAGGTGGAATGTCAACTAGCCTTACCTCTCAATTCCTGCAATTATATGCACAAAATACAAAACTATAAGCAACATATAACTCCCTTGTATTGTCACGATCCAAATTCACTTAGTCGTGATGGCATCTGACTTCAGTGCTAGGTAAGCCAAACATAAAATAAGGTAACGTAAGTGAAGAATCATAACAACAAGATTAATGCAAAAACAGAAATATACACTGTATTGGGTGATACCCTTTTTTGCTTGAGCCCGACCGGGTTGGGTCCGGTCCGGAGCAAATCGGGGCCATCGAACCCGACCTGGATGCAAGGTAGAACGACGGCCACGTCTACAACCGAGGTCGAGTCATTTCGAGACCGTTACAGAGCTCGATAGGAGTCACCACCGGATGGAGAAACACACAAGGTCGGAAGCCGGACTCGTAACGGATAACCAAGCGTCGCCGGATATCTCGCCCAAACGTGATTTTCTCAACCACTTCAGGCCATTAAGGCGTAATTACAGGGATCCACGATGTAATCAATTTACCTACCTTATTTTTACCCTTAATCAGAAGGTATAAAAGGGGATCTCTCTAAATTCTTGTGGATCATCAAGCACAATTGTTCTAAGCAATATTATATTCTGCGATTATTTACTTTAACAACAATTGTTGAGTCTTTATTTTTATTTTCCTTAACCTAAAAACCTTTTGTATCTTTTAGTTCACGGATCCTTAAAACCCCATATAAATTCAATTGTTATCCGGATTCGAGGGTAAACATACACGACATTCCAAGGACTGGTTGTACAGGTCATAAGCCACTATAATTTAGATTTCCAAAATTGATGTGAAAAATAATTAAATACTATATTTGTTTGAAGTTTACATAAACAAAATTGAAATCCTAAACCACCATGAATAAGAGGTAGCTTGAATCTGCAACAGTGTTACGTCATCAATGCAAGACTTCGTTTTTCACAGGTACGCAACTCCATGATCAGCACGCAAGGTGCATAAGTGTAATATGAGTACAACTGACCAATGTACTCATTAAGTATCTTGACTAACCTCGGTGAAGTAGTGACATGGTTTTAAGTTAAAAGATACTCACTTATTATTTATGTGCAGATGATAAGTAGAAAGAGCAAATAGAGACACAGATAACCACGTAATAAATGAAACAAGAATATAAATGACAGAGGGCCCCAGAATATCATCATTCCCAGTCTCAGAACACAATACGGTAACAAAAATCAACAGACAAGAATAACCATAATACATCTTCTCCGTTACGATGCAACACGCCCCCCTCCCCCCACACAGATATATATACGCGCACGCGCACGCGCGCGCACACAGACACACACAAATACACAAACACAAACACAAACACAGACACACAAACACACACACAGACACACATACAAATACATACATATATATATATATATATATATATATACATATATATATATATATATATATATATCAATACCCTTGTGGCGTGCAACCTGATCACATATATAACATCAATATTGTTACGACGTGTAACTTGATTCCATATATAATATCATTCTAGCGTGCAACTCGATCCCATATATGATAAGATCATATGAAATTACAACAACAACCAAGCACATGAAAGTTCACAACATAACACCAAGAAAACGAACACACGATATTCAACTAGGAAACACTAACTCAAACTAAGTAAAATGGACAGCCCAATACCCAAGAGTTAGTCTCCTGTATAGAAAGACAATGCTTCCATAAAGCATAAACACACAACCAATTTAAAAGTCACCTAATTCGGCTAAGCAAAGAGAAGTAGGACACGAAACAAGAAAAGATGTTTGGCAAGTAAGAACAAGTATCAAATGGAGGCATTTAATAAGTAAAATTATGTAATAAGCAGAGGTATGTAGCAAGTAATAGCATCTAGTAAGTGAATGCATGTAGTAAGTGAATGCATGTAACAGGTCAAGGCATCTAATAAATAAATTATGTAATAAATAGAGACATGTAACATGTAAGAGAAAATAACAAGTAAAGGCATGAATTCAGAAGGACATGTAACAGAAGTAAATCAAGTTGAAGCGTGGTTGTAACAGTAACAGACAAGATAAGAACATGGATATAGTAGAAACATGCAGGAAACACAGGTAACTACACAAGGAACACAAGCGTGAAAGTAACATATAAAACAATAAAAATTAATCGAAACCGAAGTAGAGTGCATGTAAGTGTGTAACGTTCGAGTAATCATAATAAAAATTCAACTTCCATTCTTTTCACACGGAAATAACCAATCGGTAATCATAATAAATTCAACTTCCATTCTTTTCACAAGCGTGAAAGTAACATATAAAACAATAAAAATTAATCGAAACCGAAGTAGAGTGCATGTAAGTGTTAACGTTTGAGTAATCATAATAAAAATTCAACTTCCATTCTTTTCACACGGAAACAACCAATCGGCCAATCGTATTTCAAATCGCACGACAATACACATCGTGCCAACATCATATCAATTCGCACGGAAATATACCTCGTGCCAAACATTGCCCTAAGGCCCCAATCATCATCTCTTATTACGGATAAGCTCAAGTAGCATGACAATAGCAGGTATAGATGGGTGTTCATGATTCTATGGTCAAATTAAGTATGTAAAAGTCTCAATAACAACACATTAAATCCTTTTAAGATGCCATACGTTCTAGCATAATTCCCAATATAGATACTTAAGTTCATTACCAGTAGAATTAAAGAAGAAAAAGAAAAGGAATCACCAAGTTTCACAAGGCACAAAGAGGCATATAATTCTCCCTCCGGAGCATGGGAACCCTTGGAACATGCATATACGCTCGTCACCTT